GGTTCTTTCTGTTCTAGCTCATGTGAGTATGTTTCTCAGTCATGTCCGACTCTTTGCGACCCCATGAACTATATAGCCTGCCAGTCTCCTCTGTCCATGGGATTCTCCAGGGAAGAATATTGGACTGGGTAGCCAGTCCCTTGTCCAGGGGATATCTTCCTGACCCCAGGATCGAACTCAGGTCTCCTGCATCGCAGGAGGCTTCTTTACCATCCATGCAACCGGGGAAGTCCACTCCAGCCCATTGATTTTAGATAAAATTGACTCAAAGCTCACAGAATTCAACACCTTTTCCAATGTGTCACTTCCTTTCTCTGAGGGCTTCCATCGTCATGATTCTCTATGCCTTCTGAGATCCTGCTTCTTGACAGGAAAGTCTTTCCTTTCACCACGGGAGCATTTTATCTGCCCCCCGCCCCCCCCACAGCATTAATGGAGAGTTGTGAATCCTGGCAGCAGTAACATCAGTGCAAACTGCTGTTAAAAACCCCATGTTAGAGACCCTAAGTTGGATCCCTGGTCAGGGAACTAGATCCCACATGCAGCAACTAAGAGTTTGAATGCCATACCTAAGACTTAGTGCAGCCAAATAAGTAAACATTAAAAAAAAAAAAAAGAATATTTTCTTAGCTATTTTAAGTCTACCACCACTGAGGATCCCTCACATCTCCCAGTGCAGGGGGCTTGGGTTTGATCCCTGGTCAGGGAGCTAGACGCCACATACTGCCACTAAGACCAATGCAGCCAAATAAGTAAACATTAAAAAAAAAAAAAGAATATTTTCTTAGCTATTTTAAGTCTACCACCACTGAGGATCCCTCACATTTTTCTTCCACAAAGAGTCCAGGCTTACAAATTCCTTACCCCTCCTCACCCCATAGCCTTTCTAGGGCTAAGGAGTTCGGCCCCAGGATCCTCCGGGGTCTTATTAGAAACACAGATTGCTGGCCCCACCCTGGTGTTTCTGATCTACTAGATGACTTCCCCAATGGCTCAACAAGTAAAAAATCCACCTGCAAAGCAGGAGACATGGGAGATGCGGGTTCTACCCCTGGGTTGAGAAGATCCCCTGGAGTGACAACCCACTCCAGTATTCCTGCCTGGGAAATCCCAGGAACAGAGGAGCCTGGCGGGCTGCAGTCCATGGAGCTGCAGAGTCAGACAGGACTGTGACTGAGCAAGACAGATCTGAGGTGGGCACCGAGAGTGCTGAGCCCCCAGGTAGTATTGATGCTGGTCTAGAGACCACTCTGAGAAACCCGGCTTTAGAACAACAAATTCCTTCCCAGTCTTAAAGAGAGCAGCACCTCCATCTCCCCCGCCTCTGCACCCCACCCTTCTCTTCATCCTGGCATCAGCAAATATGCAACCTCAGGTGCGGGGAGCGGGGGGAGTGCTTGCATTTTACCACAAGCATTTATCAGCACCTTTCCCTCAATAAGCACAGTTTCCTTTCTAAGAGGCATGAGGTGCCAGGTTTAAAGAAAATGAGCCTTATTTTTCCCCCACTGTGTTACCTCATCATTGTAATTGTCAATATTATTGCTATCTGAATTTATGATGCAATTACTTTGTAGAAAACACTACGCTGAGTACTTTGCATGCATTTTATTCTTCAATCCCGTTGGGAGCTAATTCTCCACAAATCTTTCACATTTCTCCATATTAGGCATCATTAGTCAATTTGCTCAGATTTATTTCCATTCTGGGAGAGTAGAGATCAAGAGTATCCTCCCCCGGGGGACACCCCAGGGATGATGAGGACCACACCCTCCCTGCCCCAGGGAAGACTTGCCGACCTCTCAGGATAATTAATAGAATAGTTCTCTCCGGAGGACAGAGGGCGCGGGTTTGCCAGCAGCCTCTGAATAGGCTGTAGCTCAAACAGTAAAGAATCTGCCTGCAGTGTGGAAGACTTGGGTTCCAGCCCTGGGTTGGGAAGATCCCCTGGAGGAGGGAATGGCTATCCACTCCAGTATTCTTGCCTGGAGAATCCCCAGGGACAGAAGAGCCTGGTGGGTTACAGTCCATGGGGTTGCAAAGAGTCAGCCAAGCCTGAGCAACTTTCACTTTCCTGGAGAAGTCTGGGGATTTCCAAAGATGCGTATTCCTGAGCTGGGATGCAGGACCACGGTGCGTCCACATGCACCGACCGCCTCATTGCGCCAGTGGGATGTGAGGGTCAAGAGGCTCATGTTCCCTGCTCTGCAGTGAGTGACACGCTCTCCAAGTCCATGTGAGTACACTGTCCCTGTACCGCCAAATCTAGAGGCATTTGCCAAGCCTATCTAGCAGCTGTCACCCGCCACTCCAGAGGAACTACCTGACTCCCTTCTCGGCAAATCTCTAAGACTGTTCTATTATTTCCATTCTTTGGAAGAGAACAGCTAAAGCTTTATGCAGTTTAATAATATGTCCAATAGTAAGTGACAATGCCAGTTGATAAGTGACAGTGACAAGATCTGATCCCATGTCTGCCTGACTCAAATCTACTTTCTTTGCAATTATGCATTTCCAGTGGCAATTCTGAGACCTTAAAAAAAAAAAACTAAGAATCAGAAGTTCTCATTATTGTATTAAAGCTCTAAGTAACCTCACAGGAAGAAAACAAAATTTTCCACTGTCAGTGTACGCAAGGGATCCCCAATATACCTACCAGTGACAGTTGTTCCTGGACAATCTTCCTTGAAGGCAGGGAGGGGGAAGGGTCAACTCAATGTTTCTGACATCCCCTTTCAAAAAAATATCTCTTTTTATTTATTTGGCCACATTGGGTCTTAGTTGCAGCACACAGGCTCTCTTAGTAGCAGCATGTGACCCCCTATCTGTGGCATGTGGGATCTAGCTCCCTGACCAGGGATTGAACCCAGCCCCCAGAGTCTTAGCCACTGGACCATCAGGGACATCCCTGAGATCCTCATAAAGTCTGCTTTTCCTCCATTTCTCTTAGTAATTTATAGTATTTGTACATCTACATATCCATTTTCAGTCAGGTTTACTGAGGTGTAACTTACATACAGTAACGTTCCTCAGTTGTAACTGTGTCGTGATCGAATCCCATGTTATGACGCGTGTGGAGTAGTGACCACGACCATGCTTGTGATGTAGGAATTTCCTTGAGCCCTGTTGTCAGGAATCCCGGTGTCCCTTCCTGATTCTTGGCAACCACTGATCTGCGTTATGTCTGTTTATTCCTCTTTTCTAGACTTTCATATAAATGGAGTTATAAAGCACGTAGTCATTCCTGTCTGACTTCCTTCCCTCAGCCCAGAGCTCTTGAGGTACACCCATGTGGTTACCTGGAACACCACTTCATTCTTTTTCTTTTTTTTGCTGAACAGTAAACTTTGTATGAATACACTACAGTGTGTTTGTCTTTTCAACAACTGATGGAAATCTGGGATGTGTTCAGTGTTTTGGGCTAATACGAACAAAGCTGCTATTAACATTTGAGTACACATCTTTGTTAGAATATACATGTTCTCCCATCTCCTAGGGGCCATCTCCTGGAGGCTCCCATGTGTTGCCAGGGTAAAGCCCAGCTCCTAGCATGGCTCTGATACTTTTCAGGAACTTTTCTCTGTCCTTCCCACTGTATATCTCTAAATATTTTCTGACACAAATTTGTATCTATGCACCCAAACAGTGCTAAGAGCTGGGGGTAAATATGAACAAAACAGAGAAGATTCCAGTCTTTACAGAGCATCTAGTGGGTAAAATTGACTATAAGCAAACCAAAATATAAAATAATTGCAGGGAATTCCCTGTTGGTCCAGTGGTTAGGACTCTACATCCACTGTGGAGGGCCCAGGTTCAATTCCTATTTGGGGAAGTAAGATACAAGATACCACAAGTCACATGGTGCAACCAAAAAAAAGATTGCTGCCATGAGTGCTACAGAGAGATAAGATGACACTACTAGCTGCCATATGGCATAGGAAAACTTGGCTGGAGGTGAGAAGGTCACAGAACAACAGGCTGGGAGATCAACTGGGTCAGGCACATGGGCACAGATGCCATCAAGGTTAATGATGGGCTAGGGAAGAGAGAGTCAGTGAGCCCAGAATCAAAGCCTTTCATGAATCAGGTGGATTCCCAACAGGACAGTAGATGATAAAGCCTGATGTCATTAACTCCTAAGGAATTCTGGTTCCTGAAGGAGAAAAATAAATCATGTGAATATAGCAAAAGGAAGCAAAGAAGATGCTTATCTCTTGGTCTTAAGGTGCACAGGTTTAAGAACCCAGGATTACACAGGACAAAGGACTAAGAGTTGCTATGACTGCTACGAATCAGAAATGAATAACATAGTCTCTGTCCTGAAGGGGCTGTTAACTCCCAAAGACTTGGGAGGAGAGGGGTGGAGAGGAGATGAAGTTCAGAGTGAGTGTCCTGTGCTAGTCAACAGCTGGAGAAGCTGGGCTACTAATGATAACGGAAGTAAATAGGTGAGAAATGGGAGGACAGATAGTGGAAATTGTAGTTTGGGTCCTGAATATATGGTTCCCTGGCTTTTAGCTTGTGCTCACTTGTGATTGCTCTGAGCTTCAGAAGCTTGAAAGGGATGCTTGACCAGGCGTAGCAATGTGCTTGTCCACACACTCAGGCCTTTGCAAAGCCGTTCTGACTCAGTAATTTCCCTGTCCTCTGACCCCTCATTCATGATACAAGTCAAATTTCACTTCCTCTTTGAGCTCCCCAGTCACCATTTCTACCTACCCACACCCTAAGTGAAAAAGAGCAGATACTGAATCACCCGGATTCTCACAGCTTCCTGTTCAGAGTCTAATTTTAGTTCATACCCTCATGTAATTATTTGTTTACCCTTACTCTCATGAGAGCCCCTTCAGGACAGAGATTATGTTACTCATTTCTGATCTATAGCAATCATAGCAATTCATGGAGTGTCAGTCCCATGCATATCTTACCAATACAAGCTGATAGAAAGCATTAGAAATTCAACTCCATTGGTCTGTTTCATGAGACCATGTTTTCTCTTATTTATTGTACTTATCTTGTTCAAGTTTCACAGGATGCTCTTTCCATTAGTACTTTGAGCATAGCTAACAAATCCATGTCATCTTGTTCATGCAGTTTAGAATCCTGTGTGCTGTGTGAGTCTATATCCTGATAAATTCAAGTGTCCATACTTGGTAGCTTGTTCTTTCAATGAAGCTTCTCGCCTCCATTGTTTTGGTCACTTCAACTGCCCTTCTTTGCCCAAGTGAGCATAGATTCCCTTTGTTTCAAAATTCAGAAAGCATTCCTTGCTTCACCCTGCTTGTATTTCTTAATGTCTTCAACTAGGGCTTAAAATCAGCTTGGAACGTTGACTGAAAACGGGTTTGGTTGTCACTGCGTGAATGAGCGGAAAATATCACTCTATATGTGGTCTTAACATTCAAGAGATTTTAGCTGCAGAGTAGACTAGATTTATGATCACTGTTGTGTTGCTTGCCACCTTTAACATATATATCCATTTATTTAGAGAGTACTGACAAATGACAAGGTGTAGACAGATTACCTGTTTCTGGATACAAAGAGAGTGTGGAAATTAGAACACAGTCATGGTTAGGACAACGCAAAACACCCAAATCTACTTTAGCACAGATTCATGAATAAGATATCTGGTGAAGAGTATGCATATAGAGCATGACAAAAAAATGTTAGTCACTCAGTTGAGTCCGACTCTTTTGTGACCCCTTGTACTGTGGCCTGCTAGGCTCCTCTGTCCATGGAACTCTCTAGACAAGAATACTGGAGTGTGTTGCCATTTCCTACTCCAGGGAATCTTACTGATCCAGGGCTTGAACCCTGGTCTCCTGCATTGCAGGCAGATTCTTTATCGTCTGAGCCACCAGGAAATACCCATTATATAGCATATTGCTTTAAAAAAAAATTATTTATTTGGTTTTACCAGGTCTTAGTTGCGGCATGTGAAATCCAGTTCCCTGACCAGGGATCGAACCCGGGCCCCCTGCATTGGGAACATGAGTCTTAGCCACTGAACACTGGGGAAGTCCCAGCATATTGCTTTATAAATGATATAAATTGCTTTTGAAAATAATGAAATCTCATCAGAATGCTCCCCAAAGATGTTCACAACTTCACCTCAAAAGGATGACTATTAACTTACATGGAAAAAAAGATTCTGATTTAAGGACCTTGAAAGGGCAAGATTATCCCGGATCATCTAGATGTGCCCACTCTAATCACATGGATCCTCTCCAAGCTGTGGTCACGGGGAGGTGTGAGTGCAGAAGACAGAACCCGAGAGACGGCAGTGGGAGACTCGAGTCACACTTGCTGACCTGGAAGACAAAGGCCATGAACTAGGGGATGCAGGCGCCTTCAACAGATTGGAAGAAGCAGAGAACCAGATTCTCCCCCAGAGCCTCCAGACAGGAGCAGGGCCTTGCTGATACTTTGGTTTTAGCTCCGTGAGATTCCAACTCTGTTGGAAGCCACAGAGTTCATAGTAATTTGACACCTCAGCCATAGGAAACCAAAACAAGACAGTATTGTAAGGCGGATGGAATGGCTTTCCAGAAAGAAAAACAAACCAACGAACCCAGTGAAACCTGGGCTGAGAGTTGTATATAATTTAGATGGAAATGGGGAATGTGACTGGAGAACATGAATTATCTTTGATCATTATTTTCCAGACAGGCCTGATGATCACTTAAAACAGAGAAAAAGACTGCACAATATCCACCAAGCTGTTCACAGTATTGCTTCAATGGTGGGATTATGGGTAGAGCAGTCCCCCCTCATCTGAAGTTTCACTTTCTGGAGTTTCAGTAACCCACAGTCAACTTCAGCATGGAAATACTAAATGGAAAATTCCAGAAATAAACAATTCATAAGTTTTGAATTGCATACCATTCTCAGTAGTGTTGTCTGGGGAGTGTGTAATTTCCTCGGTTCTGTCTTGCCACAGCAAAACTTTGAAGTGACAGACGGACCAGTGTTATAGCTCAGTTTTATTGGCAGGTAAAGAAAATACATCCCTGAGGCGTGAGGGTGGGCAGACCCAAAAGAGGTGAAGAGAAGAGAAGTCCCAGGCTCAGTTTTGGTTCTTCTTTTTATATGTTTTTTTCTCCTCCCTCTGAGCCTGCCCTATGTAAATTGGGCTAGCCAGAGTGCTGTTTGTTCTACCTGAGGTCATCACTCCAGTCCTTGGACCTTCCTTTGTTCTATTTTTGTGGGCTTTTCCCCTCTTTCTCTTTTAGCCACCGCCATTTTGGACTCCTTTTTCCTATTCTAACGACCTAACATTCCCCCCTCAGAGAAGGCAATGGCACCCCACTCCAGTGCTCTTGCCTGGAAAATCCCATGGATGGAGGAGCCTGGTAGGCTGCAGTCCATCGGGTCACNACAGCATTTCTCTCCCAAAGGTCATTTATTTTCTGGTTGTCCCCCCAGAAGATTGTAGAGGCAACATTGTGGGCCCAGACAGGGCTCAGGAAAAGAGCATGAAACGGGAGGGAAGAGGACAGGGCACAACTTTTGAAAGAATAACAGCCCAAGGGATTAACATAAACTGATTAAAATCAAATGGGTCCAAGATGACAAGTTAAATTCAACTAAACCTTGATCCTCAATCTGCAAGCATACCCAGAGATGCCAGGACAGTTCCAAGTCACCGTCAAAAGAGGGAGGAGTGGGTGATTCCCCAAAAGTTGGAATGATCCTCCCACTCATTAGCATATGAAATCACCCAGCTGGGAAAAAACTAACCACACCACATGCCATGGTCACTGCACCCTCCTCTGCGATAGCCCACACCCTGTGGAGTACGCTTCTCCATGAATCCAAACAAAGCCACCTCTTACCTACTGCAGTGTCTCTCACAGAAATTTTGCAATGAGACATCAGAGCCTGAGCTTCATTAGGTCCTGAAGCCAGGCACTGTGGGTTTTGACCGGGCTCAAGTCCCAGTCGGATACGACTGAGTGACTAAACATAGCACAGAGTCCCTGCCACGTGGGTTTGAGTCCCAATCTTAGGTAAACGGTTTCAAGCACAACTTTCAGATATGAAAAGATGATGACCTGCCCAATAGTTTGTAAGCAGTGGCATAGATGCAGAGAGGAACTGAAGGACGGGAGGAAAAAGCAGTGGGAAAAATGTACTGAGGATTCCCCTTCATAACCTGCTGGAAAGTCTGCTAAAAATACCTGACCTATGCTCACAGTTTTCAATGGCCTGGTCCTCAGCACAAACGAGATTAAGGACAGAAGAACCCCCACCCGCTTGGACAACAGCTACTAGAGCACAGAGGATAATGGAGCCTTCAGAATACACTGGGGAGTAGCCTCTCCAGCGTCTCTCAATTGCACCCACTGCCACTGGCCTGTTTGCGGGGGTTTCAAGGAAACAAGAAATGAGAGATTGTAAAGGAATTAAGATTTTGTTAGCCACATGTCCTTCCAGCCATTGGAATGAGGGATTCCTACCTGAACAGGAGGTCTCCTGCAATCTGAGACTGAGCTGCATGAGCTTTCTGCTGAGTTTGTTTTTGCTGTTCTGGTTTCCAGCATGCTGGGCTTCTGGTCCCTTCCACTGTGCTGGGATTTTTGTGTTCAGCTTCTGCCATGGGAGCTTCACCGAGTCGGGCTTCTGCTGTGCTTGGCCTCCACTTTGCAGGGGCCAAGCTGAGGTTGTTTCAGCCAGGTTAAATCTGAGAAACAGCACCATATATGTCAGGGGAGTGTGTAATTTCCTTGGTTCCATCCTGCTGCAGCAAAAACTTGAAGTGACAGACAGACCAGTGTTATAGCTCAGTTTTATTGGCAAGTAAAAGAAAATATATCCTTGAGACGTGAGGGCAAGTCGACCCAAAAGACACAAAGAGAAGTCCCTGGCTCAATTTTGGCTCCTCCTTTTATATACTTTTTCTCCTCCCCCTGAGCCTGCCCTACATAAATTGGGCTAGCCAGGAGGGCTGTATGTTTTACTTGAGGTCCTCACTCCAGTCCTCAGACCTTCCTTTGTTCTATTTTTGAGGGTTTTTCCCTTCTTTGTCTTTTAGCCACCTCCATTTTGGACTCCTTCTTCCTATTCTAACTACCTAACAGTGTGATGAAATCTTCCTCTCCACTTCCATCCCCCGACATGGGGTCCCAGCCACAGACATGATCAGCTCCTGACAGTCAACCCAAGGTTTAAGGTCCTCCTACTGACAGAAGGTCAGTATTAACCTAACACACTGCCTATACCACTGACTTCTCTCCTTTTCATCACATAGGCATTTCATCTTCTCACACTGTCACAAGAAGGGTGAGAACAGTACAGTAAAATATTTTGAGCGAGACCACATTCATATAACTTTTAATACAGCATACTTTTCTGTTTTATTGTGAGTTATTATTGTTAATCTCTTACTATGCCTATTGCCATTTCCTACTATGCCTAATTTATAACCTAAACTTTATCATAGGTATGCATGTCTAAGAGAAAAACAGTATCTATGGAGTTTGGTCCTACATATGATTTCAGGCACCCACTGGCAGCTCGGAACATATTCCCCACAGATGACAGTGGGCACTGAACATATGTATATATATTTCCCCTCTCCATTTATCCATATACTTGCTTAGCTTTTTTATTTTTGTACAACAAACATGTATCATTTTGTATGTTAACAAAATACTTGACCAAAAAAAAAAATGGAAGTGAGCAAAAGAAGAAATTATTTACTGCAAAAAGATTTGGCTCAAAGGTCACTCATACTGAAAACATGACCCAAGACCAAGTTTTCCAGTCAGTAATAAATTCTCTTTCTAAATACTCTGAGGTGCAACACACACATACACACACACACATACACACGAATCAAAAATTAGAATTTAAAAAAACCTCCATGTAGCACCATGAGCTTTATATTTTCCTAATATTCAAAAGAATATTCTTGATGAAATCAGTGTGGATATTACCAACTGTGATTTTTTTAAAAAACATAGTAATAATGAGATTTGTCAGCATTTGGAAGTTACAAAATCACATGTGGGTGAAAGGTTCTTTCAGAGTGGGAGACTGATTGATTGAAAAGTTCACTGACATAGTTTCAGTTTCCCCATNGATTTTTTTAAAAAACATAGTAATAATGAGATTTGTCAGCATTTGGAAGTTACAAAATCACATGTGGGTGAAAGGTTCTTTCAGAGTGGGAGACTGATTGATTGAAAAGTTCACTGACATAGTTTCAGTTTCCCCATTCAACCAACCTTTAAAAAGTTATGACTTGTTGAGCTACTGTTGAACCAAAGAGGAAAGTTCATTTACATGAGAAGACTATTAAATACCCTTCCCTTTTCTAATTAAATATCCCTCTGAGATCAGATTTTCTTCAGAACGACATATCACAAGGGATTCCATGCCCAGGATACTGCTAGAATCCAGTTTTCCTCTATTAAACCAGACATTAAAGAAACTGTCAAGTATGAAACAATGACATTCTTCTAATTTTATTCCAAAACATGTTTTATGCAAATATTTATTTTAACAGGCAGTGGATTTATTACTGTCATTTAAAAATATTTTTAAAATATCCAGCTGTCAATTTCTAAGATAGTAAATATCCACATACACAAAAGTTTTCAGTAATTTTTAAGGGTGTAAATGGGTTTGGGAGAGGAAGTCTGAGAATGGCTAAATAAAGTCATTTATTTAAAGTTCTAGAATCTAACAACTTCTGACAGAGAGATGGAAAAATTGTTAGCAAGGAGTCTTGTTTATTTGACATACCTGTTGTCTCAGGAAGGGTTAAGAATATTAGAATTCAGACTGACTTCCTGCATGGCACAGTGGGTAAGAATCCACCTGCCAATGCAGGCAACGTGGGTTCTACCCCTGATCCAGGAATATTCTACACGCCACGGAGCAACTAAGTCCTTGAGCCACAACAACTGAGCCTGTGGTCTAGAGCTAGGAAGCTGCAATAAGGGAAGCCACTGCAATGAGAAGCCTGTCCACCGCAGCTAGAGAGCAGCCCCTAGCTCGCTGCAACTAGCGAAAGCCCACATGCAGCAATGGAGATCCAGTGCACCTGTAAATAAATAAATAAAATCACAATTCTAAGAACAGTTCCAGTTATCCACACAACTTCTAAGGTTTCTAGTTGTTGTGGCAAACTGAATTGTAAATGAATTACTTTAATATAAAAGAGATTTTCCTATCTTATCAGTAATAAAAAGTGCAAAAGCATGAAAGATTTTGATCCCTTGCTTCAGGAGAAGATGGTACTTTATTGAAAGAAGGAGGAAAAAAAAAAAAAAGAAGGGAAATTGATACTAGAAGATAAGAGTTTTGGAGCTGTTCTAGAGAAAATAGCCACTAAGAAACTTTGTGATAGGGACTTCCCCAGTGGTCTGGTGGTTAGGACTCCCCATCTCCACTGCAGGAGGCATGAGATTGGATCCTGGTTGGGGAACTAAGATCCCACATGCCATGCAGCCAAAAAAAAAGAAGAAATAAACTCTTCAATAAACAGAATTACATATCAAGAAAAGACCGGAATCTCTAACTTGGCTGAAGAGATATTTGAAACAAGGGTATTACGTCAGCTAAAATAAAACCTCAAGTTAAGAAACATCCTCTATTCCTATAGTTCTTTTAAAGTATAACATCAGTGTAGATAACCAGAGAAAACATAATTTTTATCCGTATAAGTTCTCAGCTGCCTTGTCACCACTAGCTAGGCCATGGCCATGGTGACAAATAACAGCCCTTAAACTGACAATCTGTGATACAGAGAGTTCACATATGGAGAACTGGGAATTCATTTCAGGTAATTTAATTTTCCCTCTCTATCCAGCAGGGAAAATGTCTCAGATATTTTCCAGAGTAAATGATCACGTTTCCCTGAAGATGATTCTAGAGGTACAGTATTCTAATGCTAGTTAATTGAGCTGGTGATTCCCTCAACAATCAGGCTTCACTAGCTACATGCAGGAGCTCAATAGACTGTAACATAGCGCTGGCCCGAAAGGGCTATTGAAAAGCTCCATCGCTGCACACCCTTCAGCCACAAGGATGTCGACTTGATGATGATCCAGATGGAGGCTGATGGTTGGAACTCACTGATGTCTTTGTATCACTGGCCATTTTTTTTTTTAAATGCTCATTCACTTAAGCCCTGTCACAGCACATCTACTGTCTCATAAGTTAGCAGTTAAGAGAAAATACAAACGCTTGTTTTTAAAAAAATTGGGTTAGCGGTCTACTCTCCTTGAGTGAGAATCTATGGATGAAAAAGCATATGATTTAATAATAACTGCATTGCAACAATCATTACGGTGTTGGGTTCTAGATAATTGAGGACACAAACGCAGAGGTGTTTGTGGATTTTTGGCAATCAGCATCCATTGCCTCTTTGCCATAGAATACTCATTGCCTTTTGAGGACTATCTCATCTCCCATTGAATTTAATCTGGTGGAACTTATTAGACAGATGTTTCTGCCTTGCCAAGCTGATGGCTGGGCACAGGACCCAAACTTGANCTGGGTTCGATCCCTTGTCGAGGAACTAGATCCCACATGCTGCCAACTAAGACCCAGTGCAGCCAAATAAATAAATAAATAAATTTTAAAAAAGTCTTAGCCACGTGCAAGAATGTGCTGGCATAAATCCCTCAAACCTTGGTCAGTTCAAACACCCCAAGTATTCATGAGAACAAAGAACTCAAAGAATCACTGCACAACACATACTCTGCACCAGGCATTCTGTTTAACCCCAGGGCCGATACTGGAAATAGGGAGATAAGAATAAAATGACTGCTTGTCTTCAAAGAACATATAATCTAACGAAGCAAACAGACATGCACACAAATAGAACCCATGCAGAGGTCTGAACAAAGGACTGGGCGAGTGGGTGCAGAAGAAACTGCACTTTCCCTCTGCCATGTAGCTCAAGGAGGAGTCTGGCTTACAATTAATTGGATATCTCCAACCTGAGAGGGAGAGGAAATGTCTCAGGAAAATTAAAAAGACAGATCATGAAAGACCGTGACTTGATTGGGAACAAAGAGAGGGTCCCGGCAGTTAGAAGGCAGAGTGCGGGAGGTGTGACCGTGAGAACAGGGGGTGGGTGAGCTGGTGGGTACGATGCTGGAGCGAGGTCAGGTCTGGGTTTTGGGGAACGGGCTGTGGAGACCCTGGACACGTACTGGGACTGGAAAGCTAAGCCCACCTTCCAGCAGGAGAGGCAGAGAGTAAATGTCCAGTGATGGAGTGAGTTATTTCACTGCAGCCGTGGTCACTGCTGAAAAGATGAAGCACGCAGCCTGCCAGGGTCACAGGATCTGACTGAAATTGTCTGTGTGCATGGGACACGTGCCACCCATGTGCACGCACACATGCGCACACACACACGATCCTTGTTTAAGATGATGCTGTCAGGCTGCGAAGAATTGACCACTCTGTGTGGTGAGGAAGGAGCCCTGGGGAGGAAGGAGCCGGGCAAGGTGAAGTGGCAGAAGCCAGGGTCACAGAAGCACAGATCCCCTGTGGGGATGTTGCCTCACATTCACACGAGCCTCAAATTTAGATACCTAGCTCCAGCTGAGGTCGTGCACACACTTGCAGCGTACATGAGTATTCAAAGCATCGATTTATTAAATAAACATGCCGTAGTTTTTGACTCCTCATTTTATCTTTTGGGGGCTTTCTTCTTCCTA